CAATCGAATAAAAGGTGTGCAATTTTAAGAAAAAGCAATTGCTTAGTTTTTATTCATAGGGCCCATTGAGTTAATTAAAAGTGTTAAAAAAAAACTTTTTTCAGTATTAGCTCGCTACATACTGTCCGGACGAGAAAATATGCTGGGCACTCTTAGAACAGGTTATTCAGCAGCCTATTTGGGCACGGATCATCTGCATGCTCGAAAGTAGTTTAATTAGCGCTGCTATGAAAAATAACCACTATGGCATACTAGGCCCTCTCCTCTGGCTGTAGGTGTTAAGTTTGATACTAAAATAATCGCTTAAAACAACAGGAATAAAGGTTCTCGCCTTTTCCGATAAGGCAAATTCTTTCCAACGATAAGTGAGTTAATGGAGAGAGTACTGCATGTTACCTATAGACTTTTAGAAACTTAGATCTGCAGAGAATGTTCTTATCTGCGTCATCATGGGACACCATTCTATTGTACCGATGCTCCAACGATGACAAATACCTACGAGTTCTATCTGCAGAAGATGCCGCGAAGAGAAGGAGGAGTAGTTAATCGACCTCTTTCTCTATGGATGTTCAGGTTGGCAGTCGAAGGACCCAGTCAAGTGGGGCTACGCTTCCTTAGCAGCCTAGAGAGGATAGCTGAGATGGAATTCTTCGATCTCTTCCACTTAATACCACAAGGTGAATAATGCCTTGATTATTGCCTCTTTTATCATTAGTAAAATAACTCTGTATAAGTAGAACAAGTAAAGAAGTATTAGTTTGGGCGAAGCCGAACTTTATATACCCGGCACAGGTATCAAATATCGGAGCGATGTTTTCACCGATTTCAAACGTTTTCGATAATCCACTGAGTTAGACTTAATGATATAATTGAATCAAGTTTGGTAGAAATCGATAAAGTAGTTACCGAGATAGACCGTTGTAGTTATAAAATGGGGGCGATATCACGCCCAATTTCCAAAAGTCTATAGCAGCCTTATTTATTGTTAAGAGAGTGTTGAAAGTATTAACTTGGAGTAAATTAGAGTATTCAGTTATTGAAATGTCGGAGTTTTCGTATTTCCAAAATTTTCCGTTATACGGGAAGCGGGTGTAATTTTAGTCCGATTTTAAACGAAGTGCTTTTCCGTGCCAAGGTTTTTACGTGCACCGAGTTTGGTCGAAATTGATAAATCGATTACAGAGATACCCATTTGTGGTCATAAGTGGGCGGCGCGATTTTGTAGTTATTGATTTACCGCAGTTTTCGTGTTTCTGTAAATTACCGTTATATGGGGGTGGATGTAATTACTTTCCGATTTCAAAGATTATCTACCTGTTTATTAGTTGGACCCTATTCGTACCGAGTTTTGTAAGGATTGGTCAAGGGACTACTGAGATACAGTATTTGATCATAAGTGAGTGGGGTCACACCCACATTTCACATACTAATTTTCAACAATTTGAACGTAATATTTACTGAAATATCGCAGGTTTTGCATTTCTTCGAAAATACCTCTATACGGGAAGTGGGCGTTATACGAACTAAGTTATAATACCCTTGTGCAAAACTGTGCTCGGGTATACCTACGATATAAACTTGTATGTGAGCATATTGATAAACTCTGCGTTTTTGAATCGGTAGCTGAGATCGGTAGTTTTTGAACCGAATTCTAAAAAAGGCATTCTTCAATCAAAATCTGATATAGGGCTTTCTTCAAATAAATTCTGAAACAGGGCGTTCTTGAAAAGTTTTCTGAGATAGGGCGTTTTCGACCGGCTACCTACCTATCTCTATATACTCTTTAACCTGCGACCTCTACTGATTTTATTATATAGCAAGCGTCCACTAAAAGGATTTTATTAGGACATGTCGGTCTCGATGGCTTATTACTTAAAACTAAAAAAAATGGTTGTATTAATAAAATTAATCGAAATTAGCAGATATTCTACTAGAAAGTCGTAGATGGGAAAGGAAAGATTTTGACTGTTATTTATGTATATAAGAAGCAAAAAATTTCGGGGACAATTCGGAGGGGTTTGAGAACATCAACAATATTTCTGTCACTTTTTTATTTCACGGCTTCAAACTACTCTTATATAATAAAAATTTTGAACCGATTGATGTTCGCTAAATACTTCGCCTTCGACTATTGATAAACTCTGCTAAATAAAATGATGGCTAAATCAATGTGAGTTTCAAAGGTTACAATCCCATATTGTTAACGTAATAGATTTATTAGAAAAGTGAATGTAAAAATATATACTTCTAAATAAAGTTCACTAACTATTAAATGTTAATGCTGCATAAATATGTCGTGCGCTCACTATGACCTTCGATTAAGTCAATTAGAACACAACAAAGTCGAGATTTATACAAATATTTACGTACATATGTACATATGAAAGCTATAGCTAGAAACTACTGAGATTAGAAAGTGTGTAGCGGACAATTCTCAAAATAATTACAAAATAGCATACGTATATACATATACATCATTTATATGTTTACGTATATAAAGGGTGCTGCAGATCTTTGACCGAAACTATTTGTGATATGTTAATTGGGGTGTTCACAGTTCGTTCCGAATTGTGTCTCAAAACGTAGACGTCTACCGTACAAAAGTTGAAAAGGACGTCGCCTACATTTTGTTACACTCAAAGGTTTTTTTTTGCGCCTACATTTTGTTGTTGTCGTAGCAGGGTTGCATTACGTCAACAGCAATCAGATTTTTTAAATTTATTGTGAACGTTTTCCGTATTTGCATTTGATTAGAGCGCAATGGCGGATGAAAACAAACAAATTAAGGTAAAGAAAGAACAAATATTAGCAATTGGTAATTAAGTTAAACAATTAAAATTTTTCAGAGCGAAAATCGAAAGACATATTAGTAAATATTTTTAGTTTTAGCTAGAGCCAAATAAACTTGCATATTTCGGCAGAAAAAAAACATTTATTAAAAAATACATAATATACAATGCTTCTGGCGTATGCAGATGATATTGACATCGTCTGGGTCCGAAACCCAGGGATGTCAGTGCAGCTTTTTGTTGATTAGAAAAAGAATCTAACGAGGTTGGTCTAGCGGTGAACGAACCTGACAACACATAACAAGTCTTCGCGTATTGGGACACACGTCACTTCCGGCAGTCATAGCTTTGAAGTAGTGAAGGGGCAATAATGTTAGCCTGGAGATAAAGCGTAGAATAACTCTTGCCAACAGGTGCTACTTTGGGCTCGGTAAGGAATTGAAAAGCAAAGCCCTCTCTCGGCGAACGAAGTACGGGTTTTTTTTAACGACATGGACATAGTGAGCGCATAAAAATACAACGATTGCGCTGGCTTGGACAAGTTAGACGCATGGATGACGACGCTCCGGTGAAAAGGTCATTCGGCTTCGCCCCCATGGGTGAACAACGAAAGCAAGGGACCTTTCCGCACTTGGGACGAACAACTGGTGCAAATTAGCAAAGGAGAGAGAGAGGCAACTGGCGAGGTTTTTTGGTCTCGGCCCAAATCGAAAAACGGTTTTAGTGCCGAATAAGAAGAAGAAGATTTACGGAAATACCACTAAATGGGAGTTGATCCGATTTCGACCATTTCCAATACCAACTTATGTACCTTGGATAAAGAGAACCTTTATACCCGACTGCGTTCAGATATCTCAATTTTTGCTCGAGTTATCGTGTCATATATAGCTTAATCGACTTTCCTCTTTATTATGAGCCTGATATACATATATATGTCTATATATTCGATTTCTTTAAGCTGTTACAAACAAACTAAGGCATATGAAAGAAGTGTTCCATGTGAAAACAAAAAACATTGAAAACAGTGAATTTTAAATACATAAAAACTGCTGCAACTTCTTTCTTAGTAACATTGTTTTCTCTCAGAAGCATCGATCCATCATTTGCAAGGCGCAGTAATCAGCATTTCCTGAGTTAGGCGAACGTATGAAAAAACGTTTTAACAAATAAATTTTGACAATTTGGAATTTTTGTAAAAAGGGATTTAAAAGATTTCACCAAAGAAATAAAATCAACTGCTCTACTGCTACTATCTGTTCAATATGCCTTGAAACAAACCTTAAGCGAATAGTGTTATAATACCCTTGTGCACAAGTGCGCTCGGGTATGAAAATATATACATACCTTTTGCCAACTTACACTTAACTGTCTACCTTTCATTAGAATGTTCTCCTATTCTTGTCGACCTTTACATTCCGCCAATCCAGCCAAACTTAGCCTCTGGTTTATTTGAAAATAAATGCTCAGAGAACATGTAAGTCTTATATTGATCTGACCATGAGTGAAAAAAAAAACTAATAAATCGTTGGATAAATAAAAAAAAAAATTATCCATCAGTTACACATTTTTTAAGCCTGCTCAGGATTGGACACTTCGTTAAAGCCATACTATTGAAAAAATAGTATTCATCAAAATATAACTTGCGCTTTTTGGCACTCTACTCCACTTGAATTTTATTTACAAAAACCGCAAACTCTCATAATTCAGATCATGATAGGCAACAACCACCCTAACCCTAAAAATGCATGTGTTCAAGAGACAATAAAAAATAAATAATTCTGAGATAAATTTAACGTTTTTACGGACTTTGACCCTGTTGCGTATGTAGATATGTATGTATGGCTGTGTGTGTATGTATACTTAATTGTTCGCGTACATGCGCCGCAGACAAAAGTCGCAATTATATTGTGTAATTTTGTTGTTGTTGAGGAACTTGTGGTTTTTGGGAATCTCTTTTATTGTATTGAAAACAAAAAAAAAATCGGCTTAATAGAATTATGAACGTAGTTAGCAATGTCAGGCCTGACTATACGCGAAATTCCCGTACTTTTATATACACGTATGTACATATTTATATGTACATATTTCTATAATAGTATGTGTGCAGAGTTATTGTAAAAATTAGCAATTCATTGGGGGCTAATGACACAGGACTTTCGACCGTCACTCACAGGTAGACCCCATCGTGCACATTCACACACTCAGACTCACCTTTTTTCGTTGGCCACTTTGTCAGGCGGGTCGATGTTTTTGCCAAAAAACGATATGTAGAATACCATCTTGAGTAGTATTTATGAATGTATTTCCTTTCACACGTTGTTGGAATTATCCGTTATTATAATTTGTAGATATGTAATGCGTTTTTTTTTGCAAGTGTTCAATTTTACTTTTTTTTAGTAAATATTTGCCTTTTCGTGGGTTTCCGTGCAGCTGTATTGTGTTGGGCTTAAGTATTTTTACTGTTTTTTAAGTGCATTTTTTTTGTTAGTTGAAGGAATGCGTGGAAAAATGTGAAATACATACTAAATATTGCTAGCTTGTGCGAAAAGTTGCTAAGTCTGTCGTTTATGTTCGCTTATATTTTGATACAGAAAGACAGGGAAATTAAATATGCATCGTTTCAGGAAGGACTGAATATTCTTTTTCCATTGCTGCTCATTACTACGCAGTGAAACAAAAATTTGCTAAGTTCCGGGAAAGCACAAAAAATCCGATAAATTCAAAACAATGCCATTTTCGCATCTCTTTTAGTAAGAACGTACGTAGTTATGTTCCACTTTGGCTTCGAAAATTTTGGCTATTAAAATTTTGCAAAATATTTGAAGAAAATAAGTTTAGGAAGTTTTCCTTTTCTCGTGCAAAAGTTCAAACACTGAACTTAACAAAATTTTACTCTATGCAAGCGCTATGTACAGTGACTGAAAAATGTGTTCACATTCTGCTTATTTTTGAATACATATTCAGCCTTATCATGAGTTTCATTTTCTCCGCACCGGTTCACTTTTCACTTTTGGTTTCCATGCATTTACTATGGGCGGATTTAAAATTTTCGGGTGAATTTTTTTTAGGTGAAACTCAGGATAAGGCAGATTGATAATGCTTTCCGTAAATTTTTTTCTGTTATTTTTTATACGCTTTACCCAAATTCATATAAATGAAATTCTCAAACTGCATGCCAAGCTTTAAGAATATTCAAAAAATGTTTAACAAAATTGCGAACTACAAAGTTATACTACATGTTGTACGTTTAAAGCAGCTAAGAATTCAGGTAGATTTTTGAAAATTTATTTTTGTCCCCGGTCTTTTGCCGTTTTTTCCCATATAAGAAGTGCAATTTATAAAAACTGACATTGATTTTTTTATTTTTATTTTTTTCATTTTATTGCATAAGAAATTCATGTTTATATGGAAAAAAGTGCAAAAATGTGTCAGTAGGAAAAATTATTAAAATGATATGTGTATATAAAACTGCACACCTCAAAATATTCTAAGATTCACATTAAAAATATTGAAATTTGCATGAAAAAATTTCTAAATTTTGTGTTAAGTTTGAAACTTTCATTCATATGGTTTTTGCTAAAGCATAAGAAATATATTTATAAGAAAAAAAACATTACTTATAAACTTTATGATTATAAATTTAAAAAAGAGTTTGTGAACACTTGTTTGAGACACTGCCTATTTATTGTCTAGAATTGGGTTTTCAGAGAAAACAGTTTTATTTAGAAATAAACCTTTAACTTTTTTGTAATCTTTTGCAATAGTTTTGTGTATACAGAACAATTATTTATTCTGTTTAAGGCAAATTTCCGCAGTAAATATTTTTCCGTTGTATTTTCTAATATTTATTCGTTCAAGCATGGCAAGCTTTTCAGCGCTTTTCTTAGTAAATACATTTTGCATCATATAACTTTTGAACTTTAATTAAATTGTTTGTTAGTAAATTAAATTTTCGCGTGAATTTCACTATACACAATTTGTATTAAAAATTTTAAAAAACTCTTTAATTTGATTATTTTTAAATTTTTCGGGCAATTTTCTCAGTAAAATTTTTTTATTTTAGAACTATTTGATTTTTTTACGTATTTTTCCTTTTTTTCAATATACATACATAGTTATGCACTTTTGTCTTAATTTTTACCAGTAGAAAAAAGATTTCCCTGTTTTTTCGCGGTACACTTTTTGTGCTAAACTTTTAATTTATATTAGCATCTTTTATTATTTGTTAAAATTTTTGATGTTTCTGCACATTTTTTGTTTTGTCAGCGGTATTCTCACTAAGTATTTTTTATTTTTTTTTATTTAATTTTTTTTTTAACATTCTCTTATCGCAACTTTTTCCAGCGAATTTGCGGCTGTTCTTTTTATAATTTTTAAAATTATTTTTAGCGCAGTGTATGTTTGTATGTATATTCATTAGAGCGTACCAAAAAAAAAAATAAAAATTGCCGTCCTCTTGCGAATGTAATGAATTTTTGCAAAGGCAATTTCGAAAAAATATTTTTTTTTGCCGATCGTAGGGGTTGCCTTTTTACTTTTTGCGTCACATCTTCGATGTTCTTGTTTCAATGAAGCAATTTTTGTTTGTTCCAAAGTTCATTGGAAATCATTAAACTTTTGCTAATAAAGTACTCTTCCAGTTTCCATTATTCCAGTAGAACTATTTAAAAATCAAATTTCATTGCCAAATATACTTACATAGTAGTCAATGAAATTTGCAATAAGGGTCGCCTTTCGGTTCAGCAATAAAGTTTTTTTTTCCGAAATTGCCTTGAAAAATACTTTAGGCGCAGTGATGTGCGGCGAACTTTTTTGTTTACTTGTAAGGTGGTACGGTCTAATGTAGATATGCATTTACATACCTATGTATGTATTTACACTTAGCTGAAAGTTAGCTTTTGATATGAAGACACACTCTTTGATCCCCATTGTAAACCTCTTTAGTGATGCATGTGTGTATATGTACATTTCCATACATACCTACATATGTATGTATTATTTATATATGTATTTACATTGTATACAATATTAGTTTTATGACATTTTAATGTACTAACCACTACAATTATATTCGGAGGAAAATCTTTAGGTTGACATTTATTTCTGCAGACCAGTTGTGCATATTTTTTTTTGGTTTTTTTTCAAGAGTATTTTTTATTTATATACATAAATAAATATATTTACTTTTTTAGGCTTTGTTATGCATACCACAATCTCCAGTATGTAAAACTTTTCGATGTATGTATGTACATATGTGTGAGCCGTTTAATTGCTTTGGCTTTTGCCATTAACTGGTAGTCGTATCTCCGGCTATACATATATCTTTTTGGTATCACACCACTGCCCCAAGCACTTCGTCTTTCGCATTGGGAGCCGGAGTTGTCGCGCGTCGCTACTATCTACACGTATCTAAGATATGTTTCGTGTTTCGTTTGAGCGGCAAAATTACGAATGCTCGGTTTGGATCGTGCTCGTCGATGGCGGCAGGTTAAAAAAAGCGACGTGACGTCAAGGTAAAAAGACGAGCTTGTTTAGGTGTGCGTGTGTAAACTTTATATGTATTGTGCAGTGCTCTTACAAAGCACTGTATATTTGTATTCGTATACGAAATTCGCTTAATTTTCTACTAACTTCTTTCCATATAAATTATAATTTAACACACACGCGCACAGGTGGTTTTATTTCTTAATTCCTGCATTTTTTTTTTATAAATTACTTCTCGTTTCAAAAGCGCATTTATTATCAATTCTACTTAATTGCAATTTAGATTTTTCAATATCATTTCACCATCCCTTTCAGTTCGATTTTTTTCCACTTTGCTCACAGATAAGCCACACGCGCAAGTTTTCGCTACAATGACGGAACAAGCCAGCAATGGAACTCACCGTTACGATTGAAGTTCCTCAACTGATTTTCGCTTTGGAGATTCGGTGCTCACAGTCGCAATGCGAATTTTTTTTCTCCCCAACGTTTTGCTGATTATGAGATAATATGCGCGATAATGTTGTTATTGTTATTCTTTTGTTGCTGTTGTTATTTTTTTTTAGTGTGTGTTGGTGTTAGTGTTAATGCTGGCGTTGTTAAATTTCGCATTGAAGTTATTGGCTTGTTGGGTTTTGTTGGCCAGCTGCTAGTACTTTGATATGTAAAGCTGCTTGTAAGCTTATACAGGGTGATAAATATTAGCTTTAACTAGCGAACCGGTATGGCGCTAAAATGCCGATATTGAACTAACCGTTTTAAACAGTTGGAAATCCTCTTCAAAAGCCTTAAACATATTCCATGTGTTAGTCAGCGTTATATTTACGATCCATGTGCCAAATTTAATCTAAAACAGACAGGTTTCGTATTGTGCCGATTTTTCATTACTTGTAAACGCTACTTTTCGAATAGGTGTCAACCGCAATCAAAAATATTTTCAAACTCAATATTTCTTAATACACTCTCATTTGACAATTGTATTTTGGTATTTCATATAACTTGTGTATGACTTAATTAAATTCGACTTTTCCAACTGGTGGCAACCCTCTTCGAAAAATTTGCAAATTGAATCTTCTTAAATGTCTTTCGTCTGACATTGTGATACATATTTCAATTAACTGATGAATAAAGTAGAATTTAATTTTTTAAACACGGGGCAACCCTCGTAAATATACCTACTTCGGAAATAAAGTATCTTCAAACCCATTTCGATTAATACACATCTTCTTAAATAATTTGAATTTATCTTTTTTAACCTGTGGTAACATTCTTGAAATACCAAAAAAATATTCTAAATGTTCAAACTAAATATTTCTTAAAACTCTTTTATTTGGAACCCATATTTTAATATTGCATATAACTTGTGTATAATTTAATGAAATTCGATTTTTCAACCAGGTGGCAACTTTCTTAAGCAAATGTTCACCCTAAAATCTTCTTCGACCTCTTTCATACGACACCCATATTTGCCCTAATTCGAGTTGAACTTGATTTTTTGAACCGATGGCAACCCTCCTATATATAGTTATGTAAGAAATAAAATCTCTTCAAAACCATTTTGATTGATATCCATATTTTAATAATTAATATAATTTATGAAAAAAATTTACTTTAACTTTTTAACGCCGTCGCAAAATTCAGCCTCCACGAAAAAACGTCCGACAACGGATTGAGGCTGATCGACTTCGCCGGGGCCCAAAACATAGTAGTTTGCAGTACTAGATTCAAGCATAAAAAGATTCATCAAGCTACGTAGCTGTCTCCGGATCGAAAAACGAGAAACCAAATCGATCATGTTGTGATAGACGGAAGACATGCTTCCAGTGTTTTGGACGTACGTACACTCCGAGGCCCAAACATCGACTGGGACCACTATCTTGTTGCAGCCGTGGTACGCAACCGCCTCCGTGCAGCAAAAAAATGTGCGCCCAAATATGCAAGGAAAGCTTAACGTCGAAAAGTTGCAATCACAACAGACAGCCAGTGCTTTCGCTACTCGACTCTCACACCTGCTCTCAGAGAGCACTCTTCAACAAACCGACATATGCGAGCAGTGGAACCACATTTCCCGCTCATTAAGTACCGCCGCCGAAGAAGTAGTCGGATTTCAGTGAGCCCGAAAGAACAACTGGTACGATGAGGGGCAGGGCTGCCAACTATACTTAGCTATGAAGAGCCATGTTGAGGATAAAAAAGTGCCAAAATGTGCCAAATAGAAAAATAAAAGTGCCAAAAAAGGTGGCATTGTTTTTAATCCTTCACATTTAGCATTAAAAAAAATAAGAAACATATTCCTACAACAAAAGTCCAATGCCAAAGTAAGATAAACCAGTTTTACTATAAACTATAGAAATTAGAAAATTTTAGTTGTGAAAAAGAAGTAGACGCAAAGTATTTCACTAAAATGTATTGAAATACTACTATTTTTCAAAAGTGCCATTTTGGCACTTTGTGCAAAGAGCTTGATATGCTGGCCGACAAGAAGAATGCCCGAAAATTTTACCAGAGAGTTAGGCGACTTATGGAAGGTTTCAAGGCTAGTGGGTACTCCTGTAAGAATAATCATGACGACTACCGATGTTCAGAACGTACTTA